AAATAGCAGTAGGTTGTTTTAAATTTTAAATTTTTGATTTGATATCTAAGACATGATATTAGTTAATAAGCATTTAGCAGATGAGTATTATTATAATATTTAATTTTAGCCTAATTATTAATATGCTTGTTAATTTTTCAATTGTTGTGATTTTGTGATTATCTATTGTGAAGTAGTAGTATTAATTTTTATGAAGATGTATAAGTTAGGATAGTTTAGTATTATGGATAGATTTGTTAATAAGATTATATTGTCTGTAATTGCTTTGAACCATTTTGGTGTTTTTCTTATAAGCTGAAATTTGTCTGATTGGCTAATGCAAATCAATTATTTGAGTAACTTATTTATATACTTTAAAGTACTTTTTAAGAATATAACATTTCACTAACAAGAAAAAACTTTTTTTACATATGAGGTTGAGTCAGTAGAAATCAAGCAAATCAGTAAAATCCTAATTTGGAGATAATCCAATTTTTGTATCATGCATAGTAAACAGTATCTGATCTAATCAGTACTAATCGGTCTATATCAGATGATTGGTACAAAAAATATTAAGTTAGTAGAAATCAAGCAAATTTATCTAATAAATTTGCTTGATTTCTACTGACTCAGTATTTTATATTAAAAATGGGAAAATCAGAAAAAAATTAAGTCAGTAGAAATCAAGCAAATTTATTAGATAAATTTGCTTGACTCAGTATTTTATATTAAAAATACTTCTCTCCATCATTACTATTATAACAAGTAAGCTAATGTTCGTAAAAGCTTCATGGCTATATAACTAAAAAAACACAACAAAATTTTTGTCAAACACTAAGTTTTTGAATTACTATACATCTTTATGACTATTCAGCAGTACAAGTAAGCTTTTTTTTATGCTTAGATCTTATTATATCAGGTCTTAAATTAGAATTGACCTTATTTTTTTGGTAGTTTCAAAGTGCTAATATTGTATTAACTAGCTCTCTACATGTGCTACATTGCTATTAGATAAAGATGATTTGTTACAACTTAGATTGGAAGAGAATTACTTATGCACAAATTAGTTTTCAACTGCAACTAAAACTATGCAGGATGTATTTTAATAGTAGATTCAGGATTAATAATAGTTTATTATTAAATAGATTGGGTTATTGTATGATATGTATCATTTCTTTGACTCTTTTATTCCATTTTTTAAAGAAATAAAAAATATACATTTATAATTCTTCGATTATAAAAAGTAAATAAGAATATAAAAACTGATTACAATAAGTTAATTATAAAAAAAAAGGTATAACAGCCTTTATTCAATGAGACTGTTTTTTTCATATTTATCTTACTAAAAACTTGATCCTGTCAATATTAGCATAAAAACGATGATACAGGCTGATTTAAAGCAAAAAAAAAGAAACATCAAATTCTTAAATCCATTCTTTTATACCTAAGGCCATGCAAATTTAATTAATTGGTTTTCATAACCCGGCCAGGTTTGTTCAAAAGTCTCATGTCATAAAAACCAATATGTTAAATTTGTGTAGCCTAATAAACACAAAATTTAAAAACCTATTTAAAGTGATAGTATAATTTGATTCAGATCTGATTAACTCATTAAATAAAACATACTGTTGAGGCCACCAATTGATATGCGATTCTGTCATTAAAATTAAAATTATCAGTAATAATGCCTAAGATAATGCTAAACATAAAAATTATAACAACCTTTTTTAAAAAAAAATTAATCGTTAGTTTCAATGATTTTTGCTTTCTTTTTTGGCTTGGGTTGGGTTGGTTTTGAACAATATATATCTTGTTTTGATGTGTCCTGAATATGCTGCCATATTTCTTCATACAAGTACCATTGCCACTCTAAACTGATACCATGCGCTGGTAACACTTCTGAAAAGGAATTTTTAATGCAAGGAATTGACTCAATTTGTGCAATATTATGTTTTTTTGATGTACTGTTACAGGATGTTCAGACCTCCACTTTTCCAACATTTTTACTAGAGATTATAAACTGATGTTGCTTGAGAATTGATGGTATTGTTGTAAAAAATTGATCTAGAAATTTGGACCATCTATAAAAAATAATTCTTTTATTTCTATTTACATCATAAACCGTTTCTGTCTGATTATATCTATCTATTGTAGATTGCTCAACTACATGTACTAAATCATTTAAATCATCTATCTCAGATTTCCAAAGTTTGAATTTGAAGAGACCAAAGAATCTATTAGGACTAAATTTGGTATGCCCTGTGACCATAAAACAATAGGTAATTCTATCATGTAATCCATTCATTACTCTCCATATAAAATACTGAATCATGGCATTATTTTTGTTCTGGCCAACACAATTGTCAGCATGTATAGTAACATATTTTTCTCCAAGACCATGATTACTAAAGTAATTATAAACCAAAGAGATTACTGCATCGGCTCCTTTTCCCACACTTTCACTTTCTGGAATTAAATAGTTAATCTATAAATATAACAATAGCAATAAACATTAATATAATTATAAAAGTTCTGACACAAAATTCTGATAATTTATAACTCTAACATCCAAAAATTCTAATAGTTCAAGATTTTTAAGTTTCACAAATATAAGAACTTGGTAATTCAAGAATCAGATATTCTACAATATATTCATCAATCCATATTGTCTTAAGAACTGTACCAGAGCTTCTTTAGCAAGATACTTTATATTTGCAATTTACTGAAGAGTATCTATTCAATAATTTCTTTGCATTAAGTCATGTTTGGCGAATTAATTGATCAACATCATGATTGTCATTTGTCTACTTATGAAATTTTTTCTCAAATCTTAATAGAAAATTGAAAAATAATAAGAATAATTATAATTAAAACTAAAATAATACGAATAATTATAATTAAGACTAAAATTTAATAAATAATATATGTGGTCTATCAAAGGTCTAAATTAATAAGATTCTGAAAATTAAAATCCTAAAAATTCAGAATACAGTATATAAATTTATACATACCATATTTTTGCAAAATACTATCATTACTACTGTCTACAATACTCGATATTAGACAATCTGTCTTTAATTCTATGTTAGTAATGATATCTTTCATTTTTTTCAATTCCAATTCTATCTTAATAAATTATTTGACATTGCATGTTTTATTAGAATTACCTAAACCATCATAATGTACTAACTAATCTGCATCATAAGTAGAGCTTACGGATTCCTTATTTAAATAATTTGAATCAGCAAATATTTATTCGAATATTCACTGAATGACTAACATTATTCAAATAAGCAAATTTATTCAAATAATTTTCAGTCATTGGCTGCTTTATACATGTTATTAGCATTAGATATAGTTATTATATATGAAGCAGCCAATGACTTGTTTATTCGAATTATTCATCAGATAATTATTGTTGCAGATTTTAATGAAATCGGATTAAAATGAGTTTTGGATTTTCTATTTAACCCTCTAAACCCACCTCTAACAGTAAAAAAAAGTTAAGAAAATGCATCCCAAACTTTTGTATTTTTCGGTGGCTTGTCTATTTTGTATTATATGAAATTTTATTTTAATCTGTCACAATTATTATTCAAATGAATACAAAGCTCTAATCATAAGAAATAATAAAAACATACCCATGTAGTATAAATAAATAAATAGAACATCAATGGCATCCTTTAATCACAGTGATGAAAGGATCTCAAAAAAAAAAACATACACACTAAAGTAATAGAGATTCTATGTTTTGTACTAAAGTATTTTGTATGAGAGATACTGAAAAGAGGGTATTTAGTTAGGACATTACAGTAGTAAAAGGTTGGTAAAAAGATTATTAGATGCTATTACAGCTTACAATCCTTTCCTCACTATGTTAATTTTAGTATCGGAATTCTATATTTAAATTCTGTGATAAATTTTTTACATATAATATAATTATTTGTCGAGGAGTTCCTTCTTCACATATACCAAATACCTCTACTTTAAAAGGAGATTTGAAATATATTGTGCCTTCTTGTTGTGAGGAATAGGGAATTTGAATGTTCTTAGCAAAATTCCATGAAATATGAGTTTCGATATAAAGTGAATTTGGTATATCAAGATGAGAAAAGCTAGTTAAACTTTTTAAGGCTGCCTTTGATTTTATGATGCATGTCCTAAAAATTAAAGTTAATTTTAAATAATGTAATGATAAATTACTTGACAAGATATAAAATATGAGGTATAAAACTGGTAATATTCTCATTCTAGTTGTGCTCAGCTATAATGATTATTCCATTCTTGTATTTTTTGTTCGACTTCATCCTTGTGCTAATATTTTGCTTCAAATCGCATCTTCTTGCATATCATACATAAATTGCTACATGTAGTTAAAAACTTAATTCCTGGAAAATATAATCCCCAAATATGAAAAAAACTTGAAAGACTAATCTTATTATCCTCACTATTTTCGATATCATCATAAAGTCTAAATAATGAACATTTACTTTCACATATAGGCAAATAAGTTACCTCTCTTATATTGTCCTGAAAACTTCGACCTAATGATTAATTTAAAATAATTAATAAACTATAAATAACAAATTATCTTATTGCTTGTATACCTGGAGATGGCAGACCATGTTTATTTGCATAATTCTTAATAAATTTTAATACATGTAATATTGTAATAAATAAAATTGCAAAATTACTAATGCACCTACTTAATTTATGGATTTTTGGAACTAGTCTGTGTTGTTGGTAATGTACATGTAATGAAGCCCGTCCAATGCCATATATATTTAGCCAAGTAGTTTGGCAAACTGGTATTCCACTAAAATTGTAATTAGTCATTAAATATGTTTTTGATACTCCGCTATTTAACATTACAAATCTAATACTGGCATCTATCATTCTTAAAAAACAAAAATTACTTTCTAATTGGGACAATGCTTTTATTTCACAATATCGTTTAAGAGCATCTTGTACATTAATATTTGTAGCACAATGCTTTTGACAACATTGATTTCGTAATTTTTTTAAATACGCCTCATCATCCTGTTTTTTAATCTTGTTGAAGACTTGCTTTCATTTTTAATAAATGCCTGTATAGGTTTGAGTATATAAATTTTTTTAAACTCTTCGATTTGTCTTGAAGTAAAAATATCATTTACATCATCTTCTTGAACTTCTTTTGATGTTATATTGTTATTTGCATTATCTTCTTGACCTTCTTCGAACATTATACTTTCATTCTTGTTATCTATATTATCGTCACTATTACTATCATCCTTTAAATTATTGGTCTGATAAACTTCATAAAGCTTATTTAGTTCATCGTTTAAAGTTTCCAATTCGCTATGTGTTTCTAAAAAGATACTATCAAACAAAGAATTTTTAATTTTAGACATCAATAACAATAACAAGAAAAAAAATAAAAGCAAAACAAATCAGATCATTATAAACCACTTTATATATTATAAAATCATCGTAATAGCCTGTGCATTATCTTGTATTATTTCAAATACATACATATGTGCGTATGCCAACATATCATTCATTATCTGTTATGTTTGATATGCGTAATTCAGATAACATTAATAGCATTAATAATAAACTCATTCTATATGAATACTTATAAAAATCAAGTGTGCAATTTGATTGTACGAGCTTGTTTCTTCTAAATACTGTATCTGCATGCACTTTATTTACACTCTCTTGAACTTAACAATTAAGTTATATCCTGCCTTTTTAGTATATTCTGATATTTGATTATTATTCTTAACATTGTTCAGTTTATCAAATTCCCAAACAGTCTAACTTCTAAACACATTTCTACGTATACATTAACATGTGGCTTCTAAAGTTTCCTAATCTTTATTAAGTATTTTGTTAATCTCATTTAGCACAACATCATCCTACTAATTACCCTTATCAATATTTCATTATCTCATTACAATTTTTGTACAAACGTTTTAACACAGTATCAGTCACATAATTCCATTATTCATGCTATATACTCTCCCAACCGATTAACATTCTCAAAAATATCATACCTAGTGTTGTTACTGAAAGACCACTAAAAGGTCACTAGAAAGCTACTGAAGTAAAATTCACTGGAACTTTTACTATTGCAAAATCTCACTACAAGCCAAAATTGACAACACAAATACTACATCATTATCAAATATTTAATCACTTAGTCCATACCCTTTCTAACCTTAAATATTATAAAGAAAAAAGTTTTTTTACAATTTGTACTGCCTTAGCGTGTTTAGCATTTAATAATATAACTTGATTCTTATTCAAACAACTAACCACCGCATTACATATCTAATCTTCTTCACTAATCTTATTGTCCTTTCTATCAGCTTTAGTTATACAAGCACAAGGTACTATTCCAATACTGCTACATGATTTCAGATATTCTTTTTTTTACTTGCTATTGTGCCTTATTAATGTTTTCGTTCGTTCGTTTATTTATATACTGCTACTTGGTTCCTTTGATCACTCAAATTTCAATGAGCAAGACCTTAGTCTTATTCAGATCTTTTGCATTGTGGCATTAATCAGTGCTTCTGGTACTGATCTAAGTTTCTACAGGGTTTTTGTTTGGATCTGCCTAAGTATGAACCTTCACCTTATGGTTCTCTTAAGCAGTTCAATATTACATTAGACTTTAACATTAACATTAATAAATTAATTATCGATAAGATCATGTTACATGATAACTCAGTGCTAGAATTGCCGGGGTTGATCGATTTACATTTCTGGACTGATTTCCAGATCACAATATTTGTGTAACTATAGAGTGAAAACTTCAATATCTTAAAATTTTATTATGCTAATCAAATTTTATTCTTAATTGAAAA